GAGTCCAAGATGTGAGACCATCTTATAATGAGTCCCTTTTCATATTTGAATAAATAATGCATGGAAGGCTTACCTTATAGCAGTTTCTACTCTTTAGGAAGCCAAGTACAGAGATAGATCCAGAGCTCAAAGATGAATTTTCTAGCTCTTTAATTAGACTACTTTAATACATCTGGATTTGATTCTTACATGTATGCACCATGAATCAGATGGGATGGTATCTTCTGTCTTTCCATTCCCCTCATCTCTCTGAAATGTGGCACTATATCCAAAGGGTAGTGGTCACCCCTAGAAAAGGCAGAGTTTTTGAAGGAAGGACTGGCTTTCTATAGACACAAACCTGCTTTCCTTTCCAATTCAGTTTGCAAATAAATCAAAGTTCTACCTCAGTTCATTGCCTTTGTGGTGTTGACTTCAAACCAACAGTGGTTCTTGTCATGTAGCCTTTGGGAAGTTAGAAACAATCAGCCCTCATCCTTCCCACTAAGCAGAGGGGTGGCCCTATTCACTTAGATACTTTGGGGAAACCTTTTATAAGGTTGGCTTGGGTAGACAGAATTAATGTTCCACTAAGAGCTAAACTATGTTATCTTAGATTTTCACTACATCATGTTGTGTTTGGGGGAATCCATCAGTCAATAGGTATTTACTGAGTGACAACTATGTTCCCAGCACTGTGTTAAACCCTGCAAGACACTGAAGAAATCTTTAATTCAAAAAGTTTATCATCTAGTTAGGAAGATAAAACTAGCACTCTTGAAACAATTAAAAACCAATTCAGTGCCAAATAGATTGGTATCAATGCTAAATGTAATTGTAAGTTACAGAGGCGAAAGAGAGTTTTCATGTAGGTCTGAAATGAGAATACATAAGATTTGGGTAGAAGGAGGGGAAGAGTGAGCAAATTCCAGTTGGGTGAGCAGCAACAGGCAGAGTTTGAAATGAATCTGGCATGTGTGGAAGACAAGGATACCAATCTGCCTAGTATGGAAAGCCTGTGTTGGGAAGTTAGAATAAATGCTGGTTGACATTTTGTGAGAAACTAGGCTGGCTACGTAGAATGACATCAGATTGTAGAGGTGTTTGAAAGTCTGCTGAAGGAGTTGATGTTTGCTCTGGTAGGAAATAGGGAGCCATATTAAGTTCTAGAGAAGGGGCATGAGTAATATGATGACAGTGCTATTTTAGAAAGATTATTTTGGCAAGAATATGCATTATGGATTGGAGAGAGACGAGATAAGGATATGAAGAGATGAAAGTTCAGGTTTGGGCAGTGCCACTGTGAATGGAGGAAAAGATGGGCACTGAGAGACATTTTAAAATGGAAAGAGGGAACAACAGAACTTGGGAACAGATTAGACAATAGGAGATTAAGGAGAGGGAAGGAATTTTCTAGGCTAGCAATCCAGGAGAATGTTGACATTGACAAAAATTGGGGAATTTGAAAGCAAAAGTGACGGAGAAGCTAAGATCATTAAATCACTTTTAAACATATTGAGTCTGAGATGATGACAGAACATCTAAATGGGGAGAACCTCTAGACTTTGAAAATAAGGGATTGGTAAGAGGATAGATCTTGCACTGCAGATTTCAGTCATCCACATAGAGATCAAGTGAGCCAATGGATGAAAAGCCCTTTGCAGGCTTTAAGAACACTATTTCATCTATCATATGTTTTCCTGGGCCTGTGATTCTATTAATATAGGGGACTGTCATGATGGAGACTCCTTCCATCAATGTGGATGGGCACCTGGTCTGCAATTTAGAGTCTCAGAGAGTTGTCTGGGGAAGAGGCTAAATAACTTGCCCAGGATCACAGGCAGACATGAAGAGGGCAACTTTCAATCCATTATAGCCATTCTGTCTATCATTGTCACTGAAGCCATGAGTTTGGATGAATTCATGGAAGAGTGGGGAATGTAGAAAGAAAAATAGAGATCTTTGGGGGGCACCCAAAGATGGGGGAAGAAGAGAAGCCCACCAAAATAAAAGGATTGGGAGAACAAATGGAGAGATAAAAGGAAAACAGGGAAAGTGTTCTGTCATGAAGCCAAGAAGGAAGGGGTAGAGGAAGGGGTGGCTGACCTGATGGCATCAGATACCGCTAAGGAGATGAAACAGCTGAAAACTGTGGCAAAGCTATTGGAAACCTCATTAAAGTGGTAGGGCTGGAAGTCAGATTGCAGGGAGTTTAAAAGGGGAATGGTGACCAGGGTGTGGAAACAGTGGGTGAGGTGTTCAAGAAGTTTTTCAATAAAAGGATGGAGAAAACTGAGCAGTAGCTATTACCAAGAGTCAAATGGAATTTTTGTGGTTGTTTTGATTTAAAATAAAAGGGATTTCAATATGTTAGAGACATATTGGCAAACATAAGGGAAAGAGCCATAAAAATATGAAAGGAAATCGAGGCAATGGGGTGTTTGAGAAAACAAGATTCATGAACAGGTGGGGAGAGAGAAGTCCAGGATATAGCTTTAGAGAGGAGAGAGGACTCCTCTTTAGGGACAACCATATGTTGAAGACCAGGAAACTCAATCCAGATGCTTTCAATCTTCTCCAGGAAGTAGGAGCCAAGGTTCTTCAAAGGGGAGATTGGATCTGAAATAGCCACTATGAAGCTTGCGCTACCAAGACAATGAGAGATGACTGGATAGTGATGATAGTGGCTTCGTGAAAGGTCATGGGTGGAGGGAGGGGGTCTAGAATACTATAGATTGAACACCACTAAAGTGCACTTCAAGGTGGAAAATGTCTAATTTAACTAGGAAATGCTAGGTAGAGTGGAGATGTTGAGGGATGTGACTTAGATGGTACATTCTACCCCAATCCACCTAATAGCTTACATTGTAATGGAGTATCACTCTGTCTGCCCCAGCTTCTCTAAGCAACTGGGTCACGTAGAGATCTGAAGATTTATTTCTCCCAGTCTACCTTGTGGGGACAATATGGGATACTGACGATAGCCATCCACATATCTGAAATGTTGCCCAGTTGCATGAGATCAGTTGGGCCTGGGAACCTCTACATGCTGGGGTGGCTCTGTATTTATTCTGTATATCCCGTTTCCTCCCTGATCTCCCAGGCCTCAAGAAAGTCATCGTTGTCATAAGTTGAGCACCAGGGCAAGCTACTCTTGGGCTTTGGTCTGTGGGCCAGTTGGAGAGTGAATGGCCCCAGATCCCACTCCAGTCAGGGAAGGAAACTTGTGACTGTCTTCATTCATACCTTTCAGATGGATTACAAAAGAATGATAGGGTCATAGAGTTAGAGCTGGAAGATCATTTAATCCAACTCCCTCATTTTATAGAGGAGGAAACCAGCTCATACAGTTTAAGTGACTTGTCTAAGGTCACACAAGTAGTAAGTATCAGAGCTGAGATTCAAATCCAAATCCTTTAACTCCAGATCCAACATTCCTTCCACTATACTCAGATATGCCCAACTTAGTAGGAGGGCCTTTACCAAACGCAACCTACTGGTGTGGGTTTATGTATGGCAGGAGTAGGGTCAGGATGGTTAGGACTCCTCTTGAATTGACTTCAGTCGGTCTCGGTCTCCTACAAGTGAAGATCACAGTAGTGTGTTTTGGGGGACGGGGTCACCTGGAAAAATTGTAACTCCCCTCACACCAGATCTTTGGCAGTAGGAGGTTCAATCAGCCAATCAAAGAGTCCTGATTAAGGTTTCTATGAATGGCAATAAGCCATGTTTGGCAAAGTGAGTTAAGCAGACATAGTTACTGCCCAGCCATTTTTTAAAAATCTAAGAGGCCCCACTGTAGACAGCGCCCTTAGCACTGTACTAGGCACTATCTGAAGAAACAAGAGTTCCTTAACTTCTAGGAAATTATGAGCTTGTCAAAGACACAAAAACCCACCAAGATTGTACCTCTCAATGGTCCAGGCAAGATTGTGAATGCAAGAAAAAGTTGGTGACCCCCTTGCTTCCCTGGAGTGACCAGTTAGCTCTGGGAACATTGTTCATGGGTGCCATGTTCTTTCTGCTGGAATGGACTTTTGAGCCACAGCCTCTGAATCCCTCACTGGCTTTCTGGTGTTCAGTGACTAGTATGTTGGAAAATGCCCTGATCTTGGAGCCATGATGTCCTGGTTCAAATCTCAGCTCTGCCATTTACCTAGCTGTGTGACCTGGTCAACTTACTCCAGATGTCTGAGCCTTGGGTCCTTATGTAAAAATGGATAGGAGAAAATTAGCTGAACCAACCTCAAAGGATTGTTGTGAGGATCAAATGGGATTTAAATGAAAGTGATTTAAAAAGCTTAAAGTTTTATATGAATATAAGCTATTTTTTTTATTATCACTAAATATGTGATCATGGGCAAGTCATTTCACCCCTGTAAGTCTCAGTTTCCCTATCTGTAAAAAGGGACTGACAATGCTTGGTCTACCTACCTCACAGGGGTATTTCCAGGAAAGCGTTTCATTAACCTGGAGGACCCCTATGAATGTGAATTGTCAAGATCATCAACCCCAGTGGGAAGTTTGCTAGAACTGTGCCTCTTTGCCCTAGGTCTTCATTAGGCCTCATTGCCATCAGCACACCTCTGGCCTTCTCCCTGGTTGCCCTCACTCCACACCAGGCTGGGGTGCCCAGGTCAGCCACTGAAGACCTGCACCATTTTCTTGGACAATATCACCCCTAACCCCATGCTGTCCCCAGGTCCTGCTCCACTTTCTGCTTCTTATTCCAGCTGCCCCCACCTGGCACCTTCCCTTTCTTTTGGCTCTTTTCCTCATCCTTTGACCTCTACTCTAATGGATTTTTTTCTTTGTTCCTTTAATGGATATTTTCTTTGATGGGTACTTTGGGCCAGCAGACTGGGCAACCCCTAGCTTTAGTCTCCAAGAAACATCCACATGGACTTTCGGATGAGTCTTATCTCTGTTTTCCTCCCCAAGCTCTCTTGTCAGATCCTATTAACTTGCCTTCTTTTGATGTTCCTCCACCCCCCACCCTACTGTCTCTTTCTCCCTACCAGCTTCCACCAAGAACCAGGTGGACATCGCCACCCAAGGATGGTTCATCGGGCTCATGTGTGCGATTGCTTTGCTGGTGCTGATCCTACTCATCGTCTGCTTCATCAAAAGGAGTAGAGGAGGGAAATATCCAGGTAAGAGACCCGAGGAAAAAGCAACAGAGCTCCATCCCTCCCCCATGGCAGGAAAGCAATCAAGCTTTCCCATAAGCCAACCAGATCCCCCAGCTTGCCAGGTCCAGGGGAGCTCAGCTGTCTCAATGAGCCCAGCCTTGCTGAATAAGAAAATATGACCCTCCTGTCTAATTTCTAAATCTAAGGGCAGCCAGAAAGCACTTGAGTTAATTAAGTTCGCCTAAGGTGGGCTGTCAAAGAGGTCCTGGGAGCCCTGGGGGGGTTGGGGAGATGACTGACTCCTGTTAGGAATGACCTTTCCTCCCACCCCCACCCCCATCTGTTAGGGAATTAGCTTTATTTCATCCTGAATATCATTAAGACCTAAGAGAAAAAGGGGAGGAAAGGGGAGGGGAGGGGGAAAGAGAGAGAGAGACAGAGACAGGCAGAGACAGACAGAGAGACAGAGAGAGATACAGAAACAGACCGAGACAGAGAGTGTGTGAGTATTCAGGGGCATGGTGGAATGAGCGCATGAAGGATGCTCTGGAGAAGAGACTCAGTTAAGAACTCACCACCTCTCTAGGATGTGGGGACAGAGGATGCCTGGAACACAGGAGGTGGTGGAGGGGGAGAGGAGCCTCTCAGTTAGCCCTTCCAGAGCTCCTGTCTTACCTGATAGGCATCTCCTTCCTCATTGCAGTGTTGGAGGGGTGAGGAAGGGGTTTGAGCCAGTGGAAACAAACTAGGACCACAGGCTCCATATATACTACAGTGCTTTTGCTCCTTGGAATACGAGGCTCTCCCAGTCTTCATGAGACAAACATCTGTCAGAGGAAGGGACAGTGAGATCCACAATGCTGGCATGGCTGGCCTCCACAGTGCCTTCCAGCTCTCAGTCTCTGACCTTATGGTTCTGTAAGAAATTATATTGACCAGGAAAATCCCACTGAGCTGCCAAATGAATTCCATTTCAGAAATTTATTAAGTGTACTGTGCTAGACTTGAGATTTTGATTGTTCCTGCCCATGGAATTCTTATAGTCTAGAAAGGGGATAGGATGCCCAGTTAACTATGGTATACACAATATTGCGTGATATAGGCATCAGAGAGGAGCAGACTAGGAATCCCTTCAAGTACCCTAACCCCCTGTGTTCTAATAGCACCCCTTGTACTCCTCCCATTCTCTAGGGGCACAAGAGCATTCATCTCCAACAGATACTGAGCCTTCCCCAGCATTCCATGAAAACCCAAGGCAATGGCAACAGACTTTCCTCCTCCTATTTATTTCAGTCCTGCTGCCAAATTCTTTGTATGCCCTGGGATTATAAAGAAGTCTACATCTGATCTTAGTAGAAAGTGTTATCTTCTTGAGGGCAAGGACTGGTTTTTTGTTTTGTCCTTATCCAGTGCCTTGCTGATAGGTTTTTATTGTTCAGTCATTTTCAGTTATGTCCAAATCTTTGTGACCCTATTTGATGTTTCTTGGCAAAGATGCTGAAGTGATTTGTCATTTCCTTCTCCAGCTCATTTTACAGAGGAGAAAACTGAGACAAACAGGGTTAAATGACTTGCATAGGGTCACACAGCTAGTAAGTGTCTGAAGCCAGATTTGAACTCATAAAGAGGAGTCTTCCTGATTCCAACCCTACTGCTCTATCCAAAAATAAATAAATGCTTATTAAGTTGGAGTGAATCCAAAAGAGATCAGAGTATGTGAGATAGGACAAAGAATATTTGCCAAGGAGCATTTTTCTCCTTTCAAAAGAATGCATAAACTCCATGGGATTAGATTTCATTTTTCGGTCTTTTTGTCTCACACACCTATCACAGTGCCTGGCACAAAGTAGGCCCAAAAGCATTAATGAAAGCTTTTTGATTGACTGCCTGATTCACTAACCTGGTCCTTAGTTTGACATCAAGACTTAGGTGGAATCACTGAGTCCATCTCCGTGTCTCCAAGGTGGGATTCAGGTGGTCTAAAGGACCCACGCACAGATGAATTCTTCAGAGAGCTCCAATAAAGATCTCGGAAAGTTTCCCATTTCAGAAAATTCTTCCTTGGACCAATTTCCCTGTCCTCCTGCTGTAGTAGCATTATTCTCATCTTCTTCCAATTGAACATAAGCTCCTTGATGACAGGGATTGTTTCATTTTTGGTTTTGTATCCACAGTGGTTGGTAGACAGTAGGCACTTAATAAATGCCTGATGATTGGTTGATTGGTCTAGTTGAAAGAGGGCTAAAGAGGAATCAGGAGACATTGACCATTACTTCTCTTCATCAAGTTTGTTTCCTCTTCTGTAAAACAAGGTTCACGATCCTGGCCCTACCTGCCCCAAAAGGCTTATTGTGAAGACCGAATGTGTGGAATCCTAATATATGAAAATACTTTGGAAAGTATGACAAGCCATGTGTAACAAGCCATGTGCTGTGTGGCTGGAAGCATGGTAAGTCTAAGACATATGTCTTGTGCATTGTGTCTGACTCTTTGCTTCAATTGCTGATTTGCAGTTCGAGAAAAGAAGGATGTTCCCCTTGACCCTGAAGACCAGAAGGAAGAGGATGGTTCCTTTGATTACAGGTATGTTTTCTCTTTCCTCTCTCACACAAAAGGAAAGCCACATCTCCACAGCTTTTATTGTCCTACCCCACCCATCATCCTGTCCTCTCCCCGAAAGCTCTCTTTGTCTCTTTAAGAGAACTGTACAGATTTGCTAAACGGCCACCAAGAAGATTTTCTCTCTGATAAGGCTTTTATCTCTGTCTTCTCTGACGACACCTTGAGAAAAGGACAAGTGATACTGAGTTTGCTCATCTTAATTGCTTAGGACAAGGCAGCAGCCTCTGGGAGATATTGCCCGGGACCTCACCCTCTATGTAGATGGAAGATTTAAGGCACTTCCACATTTCAAATCAGAAACAAGTGATGAGCCCTACTAGGAGGTAGTATCGCTAGGTTTGAATCCCAGCCCCTACCACTTGCTACCTGTGTCACCTTGGGCAAATCACCTAACATATCTGGGCCTCCATGTCCTCATTGATCCTTAAAAGCAGGGATTGTCTCATCCTTTGTATTTGTGACCTCAGTGCCTAGCACATAGTAGGTGCTCAGTAAATGCTTGTTTGATTGATTGATCAACCAAATCTCTCAAATTCCTTCCAACTATAAATGCTGTGGTCCTCTTTTTTGATCCAAGTAAGGACCTTACAAACATTGATGTATTATATGTGCAGACATTTATTATAATAAAAACTTCTCCCCTCCTATTCCAGTACCAAAATAGTCCTTCCATGAGAGAAGTTATAATATAACCTAGAGATTATAGGCCTAGGATAATGTAGGCTCCTTCAGAGCAGTGACTTTTTTATTTTTATATTTTATGTTTTTATATGTAATATACAATATATAATAAATTTTACATATTTTTATTTTTATTCTTTTGTCCCCAGGGCCTAACCCAATGCCAGGTACATAGTAGATTTGAATTAAGTCATCTTAAAGAGTCCCAGCAGCGATAGAAATGAGGCACTAGCCCCCTTTTCTCTATGTCATTAAGATGCCTTTTGAAGTCTAGAAAAGATTAAGAGCTGCCCATTTGGGATCCAGTGTCCTTTAAGAAGAGAGCAGCCTTCAAAGAGGCTGGGCATGTTCAGGCATTGATCTCTTGTGGTGAGCACAAGCCTTGGAATTCCTTCCTGGAGCATATCTTTGAGTGGAGCACCAGGTTGGGGGGAGAGGGGTGACTTATCTATATAAAAATGAGTGAGCATTATTCTCATCTTCTTCCAAAAGCATAAATTAAGCACCTTCTCACATGTAGTGCTGTACAGAACAATTTAGACAGAACTTACCTACCCTCAGTGGTTTGACCCTCTAAGACAGACACACTTACAGTGACTTGGAATTCTAGCATTGTGGGATTCGACACCAGATGAAACCTAAGAGACCATTCTAGCCCAAAAAGGGTATACAGTGGCCAGATCCTGGGGACAGGTTTGAGAGAGACAGTCTTTGCAGGATGGGACATGGGGAAGATTCACAGCTGCCAGCCAAAAACAGAATGTTGTGGTAGCAAGAGCACTGGAAAGCTGCATTCTTGTCCTCTTATGAGACTAAGATGCTGTATGACCTTGGGTAAATCATTTCCTCTGTCTAAGCCTTTTTACAATTCACTCTGCTGTAAAGGAAGTTGGACTTAGGTTATCTCTTAGATTTCTTCCAGCTTGGAAAATCTGTGATTAAACAACTCTGACTTGGAATTTCGTCTCACCCACAGCCGAACCTAATGCTGACAAGACATAAACAAGCCTGACTAGAATACAGATTACTGGCAATTAACGTGCCCTTCATCACATAAGCCACAGGAAAAGAGGCAGGCAGCACAGTAATAATAATGAGCATTTATATAACACTACAAGGTTTGCAAAGGGCCTTACATAGATTATTTCATTCGATCCTCATGACAACCCTATAATTATTATCCCCACATTACAGATGAGGAAACTAAGGCTAAGTCACCTGACTTCTCTGGACCTCAGTTTCCCCATCTGCAAAATGGAAATAATATCCTGCATTGTTAATGTTTGTCAAGGCTTGCTATGGTGAAGGCATTAATCTTGGAGTGCTACAGCAATGTGAGGAATTGCACTGTGCAATGCATTTGTGTTGGGTGCCAGCAAAGCCTGCCCTCAGTGGGCAACCTCTGAGACTCATATCGAAGCATATTGACATAAAATCATAGGACTTAGAAGCTGGAAGCAACTTTAGAAATCATTTGCATCCAGAGAAAGAACTGGTAAATAGACGTATGTATAGAATGATTTTACATATCTATATATCTAATGGTATCTAATGGTAGCCATCTCTAGGGCAGGGCATGAGGGAGAGGAAAGAAAAAAATAAATTTACATGATACCTATATTATATTTTTTTTTAAAAGGAGAATAGCAAGTTGTACCTAATAGAGTTACAGTTTCATGTGCAATCATCTTTTTTTAATCATACTGTGTTATAGAAATGCTTGTTTTATTCCATAACTTAAAAAAAAATCATTTAGCCCGACCTTCTCATGTTATATAAGTAAAGACCTTGAAGAACAGTGACTTGCCCAAGGTCACAATACGAGGTAGTGACAGAGAGGGAAATATAATCTAGGGGTGCAGACTTCCAGTCCAGTGCTCTTATCTGTGCCCTAAAATGTCATCCCCACAAATACCCAGCCTCAGAACTATGCTTCACATATGGGTTATGTTATAACCCAGATGTGCAATCTACCCACTCAAAACTATTATGAGATTCATCTGACTTGAGACAAACGAAACAAATCCTTATTCACACTTTTCCTAGTATTAACTGCACTCTTTCAAAGCGCATGTTATTCAGTTTTGAATAGCCCTAAAGGGCTTTCACTTTTGGCCAGGGCTGAACTGGCCAGCCACTCTGCAGATAGCCACACGGTCCTGCATATTGGTATGGTGTAATAGAGCACTAGATTTACAGTCAGAAAATGCTGGTTCTGGGGCAGCTAGGTGGCGCAGTGGATAGAGCTCTGGCCTTGGAGTCAGGAGGACCTGAGTTGAAATCTGGCCTCAGACACATAGCACTCACTAGCTGTGTGACCCTGGGCAAGTCACTTAACCCCAATTGCCTCACCAAAAGCAGGAAGCAGGTTCAAATCCCATCTCTCCTACTTCCTACCCGTGTGACCTTGTACAAATCGGTCACCTCACTCTGGCCTTCAGTTCCCTCATTTTCAAGATGAGAGGGTTGGACTGGGTGATCTGGAAGGTTCCTTCTAGCCCATGAGTCCTTCTTACCAGATAACCCACTCACCTGTTCAAGGACCTGGACCTTTTAGGTATAGAATGCCCTCTTTGAACCTGAAGAACAGAGAAGAGGGAATAGCCAGAGAGTGAGAGGGGATAAAAACCTCCCATTCCCAGACAGGACTGGGGGATTAGCAGAGTCCATCCCCTTTCCTTTTCCTCACCCTCTCAGTTAGTATCCTAGCTTCAGCTGCCTCTCTGCCCTCCTCTTCCACCTTTTTATCTGCCCAGACAGCCATAGGCAGCCCCAATGCACAAAGGTGCCACCAGGGGACCAGCTGGCAGCCAGCATCCGAACCACTACCCATAAGAAGCGCACTGCTGGACATTCTGGGCCCAGGCCTCTCCACCCTGCCATGGCACTCTGTTCCCTCACAATTGGAGGCAGAGACAGAGACTCTTTCCCACTCCTTTCCCGGCCAGCTCCAGCTGTTCCTCAGCCACCCTTGGTGAGGCCCAGCCTCCCCAGAGGTAGAACCAAAGGGTGGTATGGAGAGATTTTGTTTTTCTATTTCCAATTCAGCAGTGCAGGGTGTGTTTTTTTCTGGCCTGCTGCCTGGCTTTGTTTTTTTCTGCCAGCCCCACCCCACATGGTGTCTGTTGAATCACAGCCGTAGAACCTAGTATCCTCTGCCAGGCTGCTCTTTGGGCAGCCCTGGCCAGACCATAGGATCATCATTCTAGGGCTGAAAGGGAATCAAAAGTCATCTAGTCCTACCTTCTTATTCTACAGATGAGGAAACTGAGGCTCAGCTGGGGACAGAACACCTCCCTGCCCCCACTAATTGCGTATGGTGACCACATCTGCCTTTCTGGAGCAAACCCAGACAAAGTTGGTGCCCAAAAACCAAACTGAGTCTTCAGTGGAGCAGGGAAAGGAGAAGGAAGGCCATGGGGAGGAAAGAGCTATTCACCCTTGCTCTCACTTTTGTGGGCAAGTTGGAATGCCACCTCTCTCTGCTTCTCTGTTTGATCTTTGTTTCCTCTCCATGACTGAGCACATGGACAGGAAGGTTTCTTGAAAGGTAGAAAGACAGGTAGCTGGAGGGCCAGCCACAATTTGGTACCTTTCCAGTATCTGGGGCAGGACAGGGGTCAGCCCTAAAATCCCTTTCCCCTCTTTAAAGAACCTAAGACATGAAAAAGACTTGTTCTCCCTTGCCCCTTCCCCACCCCTAACCTACCACCTCCCTGATTCAGTGTTACTTTTAACTTAGGAGAGTGGAATCAGGGTCAAGAATAGCCACACGCCCTATTCTCCACCCGATTCTAAACAACATATCATTCAAGGACGAGAGGTACAGGAGAGCAATTCATAGTCAGATGGGGAAAGGATCAGAAACAATTTTATGTAGAAGGAAGTTCTCCCCTCCTCCCAAACTCTAATGTGACCCCAGAGGCCAGTTTCCCTAACATTACACTAATTTGCTTTGCCAAATCTTTCATATTCGTGAACTTAGTTAATATTAATGGTTTCACGGTGGCTCATCTAACTGGGGCATGTTGGCTGCTAGCTTTCCATCGGCTACAGATGCCTCTGTCTCTCACTCGCCTAACAGAGCTTTGTAAAGATAGCAATGTTGTGGTCCAAGGGAAGAGGTAGGGAGATTTTATTTCTTTCAGGCCCTGGGCTCCTGCTTCTTTTTGTAGCTGGATTCTTTCCTACTGCAGTTCTTGCCTTACCCCTTCTGAACAAATAATAATTCCTCTTTCCAGGAATGGGGTGGCCAGGGTTCACGCATTGTGATTGCTTAACCTCCACTTCCTAAGTGCCACCACCCCTCCCATGCATAGAGCGAGCATTCAGCTGGAGGGAAGTCCTCTGACTTTATATACCTTGTATGTACTGAGTTATTTGCATGTTGTATCCTGCATTAATTGGAATGTAAGCTCCTTGAGGGCAGGGACTGTTTTTGCCCTTCTTTCTATCTCCCCATGTTTGACACATAGTAAGCACTTAATGAATGCTTGCTAATGGACTCTTGTAGGGAATTCTCAGCTTGGACTCCACCTCTAACACTCTATCTCCTCTGCTCCCTTCCCTCTCTGCCTGTCCCTCTCTCACCCCTACCAGTGATGAGGACAACAAGCCCCTACAAGGAAGCCAGACATCCTTGGATGGCACCATCAAGCAGCAGGAGAGCGATGACAGCCTGGTGGACTATGGCGAGGGGGGAGAAGGACAGTTTAATGAGGATGGATCTTTCATTGGCCAATACACAGTCAAAAAGGACAAGGAAGAGACAGAAGGGAATGAAAGCTCAGAGGCCACATCGCCCGTCAATGCCATCTACTCCCTGGCATAGCTCGGCCCATACAGACACAGCCACTGTAGTCAATGGGGGGGGAGGGGAGGCAGGGAGGAAAAAACCCACTGCAGACTGACTACTAAATCACCACCACCCAAAGGGATGAGGGCAATCAGAGATACCAGTGTCAGGGGATCAGCTGAGCCATGTGGACCTGTGACAGCCCAGCCAACAGCAAAGCCTCTCCCCTTCCTCTCCCCTCCCTCCCTCCCACCCCCACCCCCACCCCCCGGGTGCCAACAGGGTGATCACAGAGCTGGAGACCAGACCTGAGCTGAGCCAGAAGGGAACAGGTTCCGGAGGCTCAGTCAAATACCCAACGTGAGCTTTCAGAACCAGACCATCCCTGTCCCCTCCACCTTGCCCCCAACACTCACACAAGTTACTTGGCAACATTTCACCCTTTAGTTTCCTTCTCAGAAGTTGTGGTACCTCTCCCCTTCACACCTTGCACCTCCCCCCCTTTTCAGCTTTGTTCTCTTCAAAAAAAAAGTTTCCACTTTTGTTTTTCTTTTGGAGATGAGTCCCAGGAAGAGAATGGAGGGATGGCCCCTCCCCAGAGAGCAGCAAGAGACTGGCACAAGGATCAATCAGCAATCGGACAGAGAATCTCTAGTATTCAGACATTTCTGGGCCCCCTCAGTTCCAAAGGATGCCTTTCCGCCATATACGCGCAGCCCCCATGCAACCTCGACATTGGCCTTTTTCCACACCTACCTGGGCCTGGCTTCTTTCTGCAAAACAACAGTATTTTTTGACAGAGGGAGGGTGAACAGCCTCTCTCTGGCTCATGCTGAAAGCTGCACACACATGTTGCTACCACTCCCTTATTTACAATGTGGGGGTATGACTCCCCAGCCTCCTCAAAATATATGGAGTTACTTTTATCCTGATGAAGAGGTCTTGGACTGCAGGAACAAGAAGGTGGTGCTTGAATGAAAAGGTCTTCAGTTCCTGTGACCAGGTCTGGGTACCTGACAAAGGTAGAAGTGTTTGGGCCTAGAGAAGGAACGAAAGAAAGCAGCTTCTGGATTTGGGCTTTCCTCCTCTCTCCCTCGTAAAACTCCAAATTTGACAGTGGATTAGAAGGAGAAGAACAACACCCAAGATGTCCGAGTCAACCCCTGACCTGGAAGTAGATGAGAAAGAGTCCAGCATGGCAACCCTGGAGGAGACCGGACCTTGTCCCAGGCAGAACAAGCTTTGCCCGTTTGAGAAGTGTGAGATGGCTCTCCCTCTTTTCCTCTCCAATGCACTGGATATCATCTCCACGCTCCCCATTCAGGAGGGTATCAAGACTCATACTTTACATGTCATGTGAACGGTGGTCACCGGTGGGTTCCTGAAAGGCCTCAGCCACAAGTCTGTTCCCCCCTACACACACACATACACCCCAGACCAAACTGGTGTTATCCTTCTGTTGGGGTATTTACATATCAGAAGAACCTAAGGTAACAATACTAACAGCACTCTACCACCTCTGCCCAGATAAGAATCCCTCTCATTGCAATGTTCTCCCTATGCCTTACCCAGCTCCCAGCTATCCTTGGAGTTCTGGGGGTTCCCCGGCCCTCGCTGCAAACCCCAATGCCCCTGAGGCGTCAGACTCATGGAGAATCCGGCCACCTATGCAATGCTTCACAGCAGAAGAACAACTGACCACTCAGCACCAAGCCCAGACCTGTGGTGAGAGGAGTCATTTTCCCACCAGCAGTGAAGGGGACAGTGCTGCCTTCCTGGTTCCCACCGAGCGAGCGCATTTCTTAAAAACCAAAGTTACCTAGCCTGTGTGCGAGAGATGGTGGGTGTTCCATAGCTGTAGCGCATCTCTGGAGGACGTTGCTATTTCCCCTGTCATGGATCAAGTACCATACTAAAGCTTGAACTAGCCACTGGTTGGCAAAAGAGCCTTGATGGGACCAAGGCTGAGCCCTCCAGACCAGTTGTTTCTCAGTGGCATTTGCCACATCTCCAAGCCCCAAAGGTATTAACAGCAAAACTACTTTGTGTGATGTGAAAATCATTCAGATGAAGCTTAAACTTCCCTGTACAACAGCACAGGCAGGGAAGCATACTGGAGAGCTAGGCTGGGTGCATTATTCAAACTTGAGAGCAATCAGATGCCCCATGGACTGGATTGGTATAGCACCAGGCCTATTTCCATAGGAAGATGCTCTCCGGTCTTGAAACGGGGCAGGGTAAAAGGCTAGGGGGAGCAAGTTCAGGCCTCCTTTGCTCCTATATAGAGGCAACAAGCCATTCTATTGGAGGCATGGGGGACCCCGAAGGGAAGGATATCTTCCTCCAGAGAATCCCCATGAGACTATGAGCCTTTCCAGAAAGGACCTCGAGGGAGGGAAAGACCAAGCCTCCTTTGGTCCCTTGTTCTAGTGTTCCGACAACCATGATTTTCCTGACTGCTGAGGCAATAAAGGTGCTGTCCCTCTCAAAATCATTTGTAAGATGCCTGTTCAAGGTTGGGGATTCAGCCTGCTGCTGGGGATGCAAGTGTTCTCTCCACACCCAGCTGACTGACCTGTGCTTCATGTGCTCCATCAAATCCATAATGCACATGGGCTCACCGGGGGCAAGGCAGGTCACCTGCAGTGTGGGCAGCTGCCTCTGGGAAGCAGAGCCTCAGAGATCACCAGGTCAGGTACAACCCCATGCTGGCATCAGCCCCAGGTCAGCAGGCAAATAGTATTGGCCAGCATTCACTACTGGGCTGGGTCTCTCATGCAGTCACCGAAAGACATAGCTACAGCAGGTGCCAGGAGTTTAGAAAAAAAGAAAACATGAAAAAAAAAAGCCCAGGTGCTTCAGCCGGTCAGTCTGGCTGAGATGGGGGGTGGGGGTGGGAATGCTGACCATCTTGCCAGGGCTTGAGCAGTATCAACATCAGGCTCGCTGTTGGTGAACAAAGCCAAATTCAGCTACCCAGAATGTCTTGTTCCCTCCCCTCCCCAGTTGTCCCATCAGAAGGCTGTTTATCCTCACCTTTAGACCACAAGGACTGTGACTTCCTCTGTCTTTGAACAAAGTGGGTATTGAATTGTTGACCACAGTCCATCTTGTGAAAGCTTAATAGCTTTTTGGCTCCAAGCCCCAGGAAACAGCCCAGAGAGGACAAGCCGAATTCTTTGTTAAAACAAGCTTGAAGGTGACCAGAAGAGTGGGTGCAGGGGAACTCCAGGGTTCCCTTCCTAGAGGAAATGCCTTGCCACCTTGGTCAAGCTGACCAGGCTCCTGGTGCCTCCTCCTTCTACCCAAGAGATTTCAGAGGTAATGCGTGGATATGGCAGTGGCAAGAGGTACTGATCTGTTCCTTCTCTGTGTCTCTTAGCCTTACCATGGAAAGCTTTGTGGGTTTTTGGCTAGAGTATCATGAGGAAAGAGAAGAGAAAGAGGAATCTGCTTTCTTGTGTCTCCTGTTTTAACTGAGATCAAGCCAAAAAGAGAACCAGGCTTAACTCATTCCAGGCCTCTGTCCATCCCAGCTAAGTGTTCATTCTGTTGAGATGAAGCTGTTAGCCCTTTATATTCTGGCTGCCAGGGGCATCTGTCAGACAGTCACATGGAGAGAGTAGGGGCCTGAAGAACCATAGGACCCAAGGAGAGTTGAATCCATCCATATTGTATGAATGATCTCTCGTGGATCAGAATCCTTTGCTAATAACAAGATCTTTGAGGGTCAAGGGGTACATCTTTGCCCTGGACCTGAATATTGAATTGGCATCTAGGTTTCCCTTGGGTCCCAGACCCAGCCAACATGTTAGCCAATACTGCTGCAATATTAAGTTCTTTTCTTCCAATGACCTCTTTTCTTCCAAAAAATACCGATACATAGAAAACCTGATAAAATCAGTTCATCAGATTTAGCACTTAGAAGGGAACTTGGAAATCATCTAATCTGATGCCCTCATTTTACAGATGAGCAGAATGAGACCCAGAGAAATGACTTGCCTAAATTCTCACTGTGTCTAATCCAGGATTTCAGTGACCCTGTTATTCTGACTCCTATTCCAGAACTTTTTTTTCCCTAACACAGACCTTTTTTTAAATACCTATACTGGGTGCTGAGCACTCTGCTAGGGGCTGGAGGAGGCAGAGTTTGCATAAGACACAGGCCCTACCTTCTACATAGCCCAGTTTAGAAGAAGCATGCCTTCGAGAGAAGCAAGGGATCATGGCAAGACACTACAAGTCAGGATATAGATGTGACACGTGGGATGGATAACTCCAAAAACTTGAAATGTCAGGAGGGGGCATGCACGGAACTCAACTCCAGGCTGGCTCTGGGGCAACCCTCAACTTGTTCAAACCAAGGCATTCAGAAGGGTTGATTTCTACCCAGACTCTACAGTGGCCCTCATATAAACCATTTGGTGAAGGGCCCGTGGACTAATGTGTTCTCTCCTGTTTAAGAGCAGTGTTTCCCGAGATAGCTTCAGGCAGTAGAGAGGTCCCAGGTGCCCCAGTTATACCCTAGGACCTGTGCCCTGCTTACATCACATCAGTATTATATGGATATTCTATGAAAGATGAACATGGATGAAGGTTGCCAGTTTCACCTGATTTGAAGAATCCCTTTATTCAAGTTGGACCCTGATGGCCAGACGTTTCCTCCCTAAATGGACTTGCCCCTCCTGAGGATGGATTGCAGATAGGATTCTTCTGGTTCTAGGGATTTGATTTGATTTTCTCATGTTTCATAGCTAACCCAACCTTGCATCTGGGAACACTCCCAGGACAACAGAAGAGAATGAGTAAGTCAATTGGCTTAATGAACTGGTCATTTAGCTGTGGAGGGCACACCATGGGATTCAGTCTAGGGTGCCCGCTACCAGGATGGCATCTTTTGTTCTGTTACATATCCGACCCTCATTATACATTACACTCCAAGGATAGGCCTCCAGTCATCTGTGCTTGTGCCAGTAGAGAGCTGAGGTGCAGTGGAATGCTCAGCATTGGGCCACTCCAGCCAGTCAGCACAAGACAAAAAGACTTCAGTTAAGCAATAAACACAAAAATCTGGGGAAAGAAATTCAGAGTTTTGTGTACTATCAACCCTTTTCTTGTCACAAATGAATACAGACACACACACACACACACAAAAATGGATGAACCTGTCCCTATGTCTTTTTCTGCTCCCAGAAAGAGATGTTCTCAGTCAGTGTTGTCCCTCTGCCTAGCTACCCAGCTCTTTGCCAACTTCTCCATGAGCTCCTCTTGTTGGAGGACCAGTCACCTATCACAGGGCCTGCTATAGTCTGCCCTGGTCCCTGCAGCCCTCGCTGCTCACACTTTCTGTCCACGGTGTCCCCTTTCCCTTGTCTTTCTCCCCCACTATTCCCCCATTGAAGCCTATTGGGCTTCTCTTTCTCCCCACCCCTTTACACTACAAATTCTCATTGGTTCTTTGCTGGGGGGAGAAGTTTTCCCCATTTTTCTCCTTCAGTCTCCCACTCTCTCCCATCTGTCTGGTCTTGTTTTCATTCATTAAATATTTAACTTTCCATGGCAGACCTCATTTTAATGCCTTCACATACACATTTTTTCCCCTTTTTTCTGAGTTATTTTGCATTAACCAACTTTGTCAGCAGTAGATGAGTATCAGAGGCTGTCACAAGTGACCTACAGCAGGGAAGATTTCTGGGCCATGGAGAACCGTTTAATTCATGGACTTATAAACTGACTGCATGAGCAATGAAAAGGCCAAAATATTCAGATTTTTTTTGGAATCACTGTAAAAAAAAAACCCAACTGATTTTTTTTGTATAGAGAACACTAAACGTATAATAAAAATTGTTCAAAACCAACTCCTTACATTGAGTTTGTCTTTTTTCCCCCTTCAGACCAATGAAGGGATGTTAGGGTATTAATGGAAATGTTCCATGTGTATGGTGCAATACGGGGCACCTTTGCCCCAGACATCAGGTAACTTTTGAATCATAAAATATCAGCTGAACAGAACCTTAGAGATTGACTGAGTCCAAACTACTCAATTGACAGATGAGAAAACTGAGTCCTAAAGAAGTCACCTGTCTTGCCCAAGTCCATGAAGGAAGTTAGGAGCAGAACCAGGATAAGATATCAAGTTTTCTTAAGTCTCAATTCAGTGACCAAGCATGGTGGTGCACACCTATGCTCCTTGCTACCAGGGAGGCTGAGCCTGGTGGATTCCTTGAGCTTGGGAGTTCTGAGCTGCAGTATTTATATTTAAAGTCAATCAGATGTAGGGCACTAAACCTAGCACCAATATGGTGAGCTAGAGTGGGGAACCAGGCTGTGTGTAAGGTGGATCCAAATGGTCCAGGTCAGAAATGGAGCTAGTCAAAACTTCTGTACCAATCAGCAGTGAGAACTGGCTGGGTCAAGAGAGAGAGAGAGACCCAATAGTGAAAAAAAAAAAAAATGCTCAATTCAGTGTACTTTCCATTGTAGTAAGCTAAGAGGAGTTTCAGACTAACCAGAAGTCCTCAGAAACAAAGTATCTTTACATATCAGCCTTTCATCTCCAAAGAAAATATTATATACCTCACCCACACCTTGGAGAGGAGCTCAATCTAAGGAGACCAGCATAGTGTGTCCTTTTTCCTATTAGGCCACATCTTTCATTTGCATGAGCTACACCCATGATTTGATATGCATATGTGTTTTCAAAGGTTAAAATGGTTAATAGAGGAAATTAATGATTAATTAATATATAATGGTTAATAAACGATCCCATGAGCCTGTGTATATATGTGAGCACATGTATGTGCACCCCCACCCACCCACTCAAGTGAACACTGGGGGGGAGGAAGGAGGGAGACCAGATGAAGCTCAGTAAGTTGGACCATTCGCAAAAATCATTCATCAGTTCTGCCCCAAACCTTCCTTCTCCTTTTCCTGTCCCTATCATTCTTAGATCAGAGATGGCAAGCTTCTACCACAAGGAAGCACACTAAGAGACCCCTTCCTCAAGGCAGAGTTCTACCACCACATCAGAAAAGGGAGAGAGAGTCGAGGCAGAGGTCAGCCTGTTTCTTTTAGGACCATTGTCTGGCTTTCATTAACACTGCTGCCTATTTCTTTGGATCAAGTATATATTAGTTGTCATGGTTAGAGTCCCCTCTGTGACAGGAATCTCAGTGCTGGAAGTCATATAGACATAATAATAGGGATCTCTCATACTGCAAATGTGAAAAGACCACAGTATTAGGATTAGGAGACCCATAGCTCTGCTGTGGGGTCTTGGAGAAGTTCTCTCTGGGCCTCCGGTCATGATCCGTTAAAGGAGTAGAGGAGGAACAGCTGATCTTTAAAATCCCTTCCACCTCAAAAAAGACTATTAGTCTTAAACAAAAGGAAAGAGATTAAACTGCAGTTTAGGAGGTGGAGGAAGAAGGAAGTAAAGCATCCCCTGGTTCCTTCAGCCAGTCTCCATATGGCATATGGTTCAATCCTGGTTATCCTCCTCTGAACCAATGCCTTCCCTTAAAAGTAGGAATCAGAACTGAATGCAATATTCCAGACTCAGTCTGAGCAGAATAGGGCACAGCTCTTGCCTCCCTAATCCTGGACAGCATGCCCTCCTTAAAATTCAATCTCTAAAACCATATTAAAACTTTTTGACTGCCGTTGATTCGTACTGAGTTTGCCATCCACCTAAAATCTCCAGATCTTTTTCAAATAAAATGCTTTCTACCCGTGCCTCCCCAATCTCCTATTATGAAATCAATTTTTGAGTTCAAGTGTAAGACTTTACATTAAAAGTCTTATTAAATTGCTGTAATTATATTAAATTGAATTATTATAACAATTATTATATTAAATTTCATCTTACTGGCTTTGGCCCGATGCTCTAACTTGTCAGGACCTTATCAGATCCTGATTTTTGTCACCTAAAGTATGAGCCATCCCTCCTAACTTTGGGTCACCCTCAAATTCAAGAAAGATGCCTCCTATGCCTTTATCATTTATTTATTTATTTTGTTAGTTATTTTGTATTTTATTTATTTATGCCATTTATTCATTAAATAAAAACTTTATCCAAGTTTCCCCATGTGTAAAATAAGGTTGTTTAATTGGATAATCTTTAAGGTCCTTTTCCAGGCCTGACATCCTAGGATAGGAGAGAAAAGCCACATTATATTCTCTAGAACATTCTTCCCTTTTTCCCCTGTGATGGAGACTGTTTAAAAAAAGAAAAAAAAGATTTACCCTGTTTCTGGGAAGAGCCTGGGGCTACATCTCTATTTACCAACGGAGTAATTGGAAATACTGGACAAACTAAGATTACAAAACAGCACATTCTCTTTAGTGAGACATACTTCCCACACACACCAAAAACAAACAAACAAACAAAAAACCTCATGATCTGTTCCCACCATCTGGTTTAATCACCCTCCAAAAGTCCTTTGCACAGAGTAAAACCTTGAGAGCTAATACCGCTAGGAAGGATAAAGGACTCCCAGTCTGGAGATCTTGTTTCTAACACTGACTTCACTTGACTTGCCATGAGACCTGAGAAAGGTCATTTAACATCTCTCATCCCTAGCTTCCCCAACAATAATATGGGAAAAGTCATCCCAAATACCCTTGCTCCAGCTTCATGGGATGATCTTTGTAACCAATAGGTTAAGGAAATGGAAGTTCTTGCAACCAGCCTCTGCATGAGTGTCTAATTGGCAAGAGAATGGATATGGATTAGGAAAGAAAGAAGAACAGGGAGATGGAATGAAGGTAGTATCCTAGTTAAAAAAGCTAAATTCCATCCTATTAAGGTCAGACAGAGGGCTGGCTCCTTTTAGGACCCCAGGGATTCCCTCAGAATATCTGTCATCCCAGAATTCTAAAGGCAGGGCTTTCAACCTATTAGAAATGCAAATACTTTGGGATGGTGCAGGATTAGCAGGCCCAGTGGGAGGGGACAAGCCATCTTCCAATCTTTCTTCAAACTAAGGTTTTGGCCCCTCTTGCTTAGCTGCCCCCAGAGGGCTAGGGGTGTTAGAATTCATTACCATCTTCTTCTTATCAAGCCCCCCTGCCCACCCCAAGAGACACTCTACTAGACTAAGAGAGGAGATAGGAGGGGGCACTTTTCTCCTCCACATACGCTCCTGACTTAATGCAATGGAGTCCCTTTGTTTGATGTGAGCTCCTGCTGGACTAGCGGCTGGGCTAGGGTCTCAAAACCATTTGGAGTCACAGCTGTGACCCAACAGGGACCATTACCCCCCATTCCCCAGATTGGCTGTCAACAGCAGCCTCAACCTTACAAGAGCAGAGCATGCTGGGGCTGGGTTGAAGCCAACAGTCCCCAGCTAACAGTATGGTTGCCACTGCCCCACTGAGAGGCAGCCCAGAGAAGGCACACCAAGCCCTCTATAATAGATGAGGCCGTTGGCTTGAGGAAGAAAGGAACTGAGAAGGTCCCAGATTAAGTCAAGTGTCTTCAGTGTATCTGCATTAAATAACACGAATAAATATTGGCTGAAGAGCCTGCTAATGGCTTGTAAAGTGTTACGTGGGATCCTTATGAAGAGTAGTATTGAACGCAAAGTGCTGGATCTGAAGCAGCAGTGTGTGTAGACAGAGTTGGATTTAGAGTCAGGAAGATCCAAATTCAAATCCTGCCTCAATCACTTCCTAGCTATATGACCCTTGGCAAGTTATTTAACTTGTCTGGGCTCCAGGGTCACCTATAAAATGAGAAGATTGAATTCTATGATCCTATGAGAAGCCTGAGTTTGCAGTCTCAGTTCTGCCATTAACAAGTCACTTTCCCCTCTCTGGCCTCGGTTCCTTCCTCTAAAAAAATGGTGGGAGTGGCTGATCTCCAAGGTCCTTTTACAGCTATAGCATTTTGAGTCTGTGCTGAGGTTTAGGGTACAAATCTTCATGCATTGAATTGAAGGGAGGAAGGGAGAGAAGAAGCATTTATTAAAAGCTTACTATGTGCCAGGCACTATGTTAAATGCTTTACACATATTGTCATTTGATCCTCATAACAACACGACATTGAGTATAGACAGTACAATGTCTACCAGCCATTAGGCATAAGGTTTGGTAATGTATATTCCTAATTCTTGGGAACAGTATTCCCTTGGAAAGGGGGATTTGAAGAAAGGCCATTGCTAATCCACCAAGTTTTCAAGATTGAGATGCACAGGAATCTGCCAGCCTCTCTCTAAGCCAAGAGCTAGCCCCAACATGACAATTTAAAAAAAAAAAAAGTACTTCCCTTGGAACCACTATTTTTCTCTAAAATTGCATAAAAATCCAGAGAGGTTTTAGTATGCAGTGCAAATAACACTGGATTTGGATTCAGAGGACCTGAGTTCAAATCCTGATTCTGCCACTTGCTACTTTTGAATCTTGGGTAAATCATTTGCCTTTGGGGAAGGCCTCATCTATAAAACGAGATGGCGGTGATGGGGCACTAATAATGGACTTTCCCATGTGGCCCAGGTCCCTGACATTCTCCTGAGACTCATCTCAGTATAATCCTTTCAACTGTTCTTGCATTGTAGCTTTGACCCTGCCCGAATCTCCAATTCTCAGTTACCTCTAACCCAGCCCAGCCCTCATTGTCCATACCTGGCCCCAACCTAGACTGCCACTCCTTAATTCCATCTAGACCCCTTCCGTGTGGCCCTGGTCCCTGGCATTCACCTGGGGCACCCAGCCCTTTCCCATCCTTCTCTGTTGCCTCTCAGTCACCCCAGACTACTTGGCTGTATATGTGTCCATCTTGCCCCCATTAAATTGCTCAGATTCCTGAAGAGTCTGGCCCGGCTGTA